GTAATTATGAGAAGTTGATTAATCATTTTTATTGTGCAGGGTGTTAATCATGGATATTATCATCTTCATTATTTTAATTTTAGAGAAATACATGAAACAATTTCATTAAAATTTCATTAAGTATTATATGAAACAATTTCATAATCATATATGAAACAACTTCATCAAAAAAAAAAATTATATGAAACAATTTCATGAAATTTTTTCGTAAGATTAAACAATGAAATCGACGAATGAAAATAGTTTACACGGTTTGTACAAATTGAATGGTTTGCATTTGATCGCTCATCTATATATATATATATATATATATATATTATGACCCAAATAAACCCGTCATAAAACTATGCAATGAAATCGGCCTCACCTTCACTTTAAATTAATATAATTAAATACGTCTGAATTTAAAATATCATAAACGATGTACTAGGTTACAAATCATACACAAACCATTTAGGGGGTCGGGGTTGTCCCCCATTTGACAACATATAAACTCTCCTACCCAACTGCAACCGAAAAATCCCGGCTCAAGTTCTACTTAAACCCGCTTACAACAAAACCGCATCTTCGGCTAATTATGATCCTCGACAACAAAAGGTGTTCCCAACCGACCACGAATTGTATATTTTTAGTTTTCTTCAACAGTTTCATCATTTAAAAGCCTTTCTAAACTAAATCTACTTAACTGTATCAAAAAATTCTTTCTTTGAACCTAAACTGGTTATCATCCTGATGTTCTAACGAAACCATCGTTGTTCATCCGGAGATTAACACTCTTTAGACATTGTGCTTCTTTTTGAAAGAGAATTTTTTCCGATGTATATATGAATAAGATGTTTTATCTATACTATATTATAAAACATTTGACAAAAACTCTTAAAAATTATTTTTTATACATGAAGTACTGTTTATTGATGCATATTACTTAAAATTCAAGATTACAAGTAAATTTTGCATAAGTACAACTTTTTAAAGCTCTATGTTTGAATTCATGTAACTAACTGCGGATAAACATAATCAAATAGAGGATAAACATCTCATTTCAAAATATAAAAAATCTAAAATATAATTAGGATAATTAATGAAATCTAACAAAATACTTAATTATTATTTTTAAAAAATATATTATTAAAACCTAAAATAAGTTAATTTGTTACGATAAATTAAATTATAATAAAAAAATTAAATTAAAAGAAATACACAAATAAAAACTTTTAAATAGTTAATTTGATACTAATATTGATATATTTTTTGTAAATTTTATATGATATTTTTAAATTTACATTTTTTATTCAAAAATAAAAGCATTATCGCTTTTTCAAAACCACATAAAATCGTATTACATCGACATAGATAAAAAAACAAAACGAAACATTGAAATCGAAATGTGTTTCGATACATTGCACGAGTACCCTTCTAATATTAAAAAAGTTTGTGAATTATGATAAAACTAAGATGTCGATAATCATGATTTAAAAAAAAGCTAATTATACATCAAATTAGTGCTAATTAATCAAAAACTACATATTGTGCATTGCATAGTAATAAACCACTTACAACCCTTTTCTTCCCTTAAACCTAACATTTGCTATCTAATTGGGGGTTATATATTGTATTAGTTATAGTGGAAAAAGGACATGATTATGCAACTCAATAGCAATGATTAAGCCTATTTTTTTTATTAACCTGGATATCAAATCCATTATGCGAGGCGACTCATTTCAGGGCAACCATCTGCTTTGCATATAGCCCGGAGTCACGGTATTTGAACATTCGTGGCCACAAGATGATTTTTATTTTTTCTTGGATTGAACTTGGGACCTCCTGATATTTTTGATATTTGGAGTCAAGTTCAAACCAATCAGACACCACCCTTGTGGTTGATTAAGCCTATTTATACTCTTTACTTTGTGGATTAGATTATTGGGGTAAGTCAAATACACACATATTATTTGTATCTAGTTGTGTTCGTACAATTAAACATGATTGTAAATACGATTGACGATGTTGGAGAGAGGCAATACGATAAGTAGACGTGATGGATGACAAACCGAAGAGAGCAGATGCCAATTACAAATATCAGACGTTTCTAAGATGACAACTTTACAAAATCGCGAGATAAATAGAAAAGAAAGAAACACCATTATGAATTTAATGGTTTTCAAAAATACAAATCAAAATGATACACGTTGTGAACCATAAGGGTGATGCCTGATTGGTTTGAGCTTGGATCCAAATGTCAAAAGTACCAGGAGGTCCCAGGTTCAAATCCAAAGAGGAATGAAAATCCCCTTGTGGCCACGGAGGTTCAAATGCGGTGACTCCGGGCTATCTGCAAAGCAGGTGGTCATCCTGGGATTAGTCGGCTCACATAGCGGATTGGATATCCAGGTTAATAAAAAATGATACACGTTGTGATTTCATCAAATGAGGAAAGCTCGAACCAATGAGAAAGAGAAAACGTCATGTATTTTCTAGACTATCCACGACCTCTTATTATAGTTTAAAATTTTAATATATTAGTTAAATTCATTTTTTATGCTTAATATGACATCTTTATGTTGTTGTCAGCACGAAGAACGTAGATGAAAACTGCACTGCTTTTCTTAAACGGGTCGACTCAGTTAGGTGAGTGGTTTTTTATCAACAAATCCTGCTGATAAAAAAATATCCAAGATCAACCACAAGGGTGGTGCCTGATTGGTTTGAGTTTGACTCCAAAGGTCAAAAATAGCAGGAGGTCACAGGTTCAAATCCAATGAGGAATAAAAATCCCCTTGTGACCACGGAGGTTCAAATGCGATGACTCCAGGCTATCTGCAAAGCAGATGGTTGCTCTGGATTAATCAGCTCACATAGCGGATTGGATATACAGGTTAATAAAAAAAAATAATAATATCCAAGATCTTTATAAAAAAATTTCATGATTCATAATCATGATAAATACAGTTTCCTATAAATGGTATGCCAGTATTGATAAAGAAATAGAATATTTAGGTATATAACTTTAAATGAAATTTTAATAAAACAATAACCTTTTGATAACTATAAATCCATATTTTTAGTAGGTCAGAAACCTTATATTATGTCACCGTCTCTGGCGACTTACAGCCAGTCTTAGATTATCGTCGATGAATCTGAAAGCAAAGAAATGGTTCATATATTTCTATCCATCTAAAATGCCTTTTTTAAATTTTCTATCAATAAAGATCGACCTTTCAGCACACCTCAGAGGACCATGTCGGTTTAGATAAGGTTTGAAGTTGACTTTGTTAGGCATTTTATCAGTATTCTTATTATCTTTTTCTCTCTGTATTGGCTAAAAAGTCAGTAGTTGTTTTTGAATTCAATAAGAAGTCCAGATTTGGCTTTCGACTAATCTTGATGTGTTCAACTTTCTTTCTGTTCAAGTAACATCGTTCTATACAATTCAGAAAATATTCATTTGGTATTATCAAAATTTTCTGGTTTCATTTTAATGTTTGGGGTTTTATTTATTTACAAACCTATTAGATTTCTAACTTATCGGGTAAGACTCTTAGTCCTTGCCTTCGCTCTTACCGGGTAAGTTTTTTGGTTCTTCCCATATTTATTCAGTAAGGTAATGTGACTTGGTAAGCGCTTACCCGGGTAAGTGTTTGGTAAACGGACCCTTAGTATGTGTTTTTTCCCTTACTTGTTTTGTTTGTTATCGCATTACATTTGCTTGTGTGTGAGTTCATTTTACTTTTTGGTATTGATCTGTACTTATTTTTGCTCGAGTCAGGATTCTTTCAGAAACAACCGTATACTCTTTAAGTAGGGGTCATGTCTACATACATCTCATATCTCTTAGACTTCACTTTCAAGTGAAATTTACTCAGTTTGTTTGATTTGATTTTATCTGAAATGCACAAGGCTTGTCATTGAAAAGGTTGTTACTTTCCCTAAGAAGCTTAGAGGTCGTTTGGTACGTAGAATTGAAATGACAAATTCTTTTGATCAAATTTCAAATCCTTTGTTTGGTTCATTTCTTGTAATTTTGTTTCTATCAACGGACTTATAAAAACAAATTAAACGATTATGAAAACTATTTGCAATAAATTTCAGTACAATATTTTTAAAATTCGGAACATATTAAAAAAACTCAATGGACAACATGTTTTGGAATGTCCAATGACTTATTTGTTCCAAAAAATTGTCCAATGAGTTATTTAACATGTTTTGAAATGTTTAAGGACTTATTTGTTCCAAAAATTTGTCCAAGAACTTAATCATTCCAAACACTAAAGTCCATTGGGTTTTTTTAAACTTTTCTCTACAATTATTTTATCGACTTATTTTAATAAAATAATTTTCAAATTGTACATTATGTTTATGACGACACAATTGGTAGAAGAAACATACTTTAAAGGATAAATATAATCAAACTATTATTTATTTTAAAGGATAAATATAATCATTTGATTTTGGAATAATTTTTAATAAGAATAATTCTTAGTAAAATGTAAATCAGAATAAGGTGTCGTTTATCAAACATTTACTCGGTAAGCGTTTACCAGTAAAATTCAACATTATCACTTACTTATCGAGGAAGATTTTAGTCGATAAAAACGACATCATATACAACAATTTACCCGGTAAGCGCTAACCGTGGTAAAACTTCTTGTCCTCACTTACCGGAGGCTGTTTACCAAATTTTTTATTAAGTCTTGTATGGATAAATTTGTTTGTCTGGATAAATGGGTGTTGTTGTTTACTTTTTTTATCTGAACCAACACTCTGAATAACATAAATGACCGATTTACCTCTCAATATTAATTATTTGAACATCAAAACAAAAAATCATAAAGAGGTTGACGATAGGTGTCTCATTTGGAAAGGAGGCGACACTTTAACTAAGGGGTACATATATCATTTTTATGGCTGAATGGGGACAACACATCATTTCTATTTGTGCGATTAAACCATGTTCTGTGCGAATAAGCCGTAAGTAAACAACCCAAATGAGTTGTGCGAATAAGCCTAATTAAGTCGCAAGTAAACAGCCCCTGATCTTACCGGGTAAGATTCTTGGTTCTTATCATATTCATCAGATAAGATAATATGACTTGACAAACACTTACCCGGATAAGTGTTTGGTAAACGGCCCCCAACTAATTGTTTTAATTTTAAAAGATATCACCATCTCCTTTCGCATACGGATCCGTTCCTGATATTTTATGGGCTGAACGAGATATAAAAATGGGCTCTCAATAAGTATAATTTTTTAGTATATTGATTTTATCATTGTAAATAATATTGAATTGAAAAAACACTTGCAATTTACATAAAACCAAAAAAACACTTGTAATTTACATGAAACCATTTTTTTAATTATTTTTAAATTCAAAATCAATCAATAATTATTTCTAAATTAATACTATAAAATAAACGACCAATTACCATTTACATATTTTCTTCTCCTAATTAACTAATACAAGTTTGGGCCTTTAATACGATGATAAATTCTTTTTAGGTCCTATTAAATACTAGAAATATTGTGATTATTTTATTTATAGAAAATTATAAATTCAGTCCCTGTGGTTATATCAAAATTTGGATATAGTCCCTCAAACGAAATAATTACATGGATGGTCCTATGGTTTTATTTTTGTTATGAATTGAGTTCCTTGTCATAACAGACTTAACCTTACCTCAGTTAAACCAAAGGTATTTTTACCATTTTATTTTTTAATCCTAAGAAAATAAATATATAATTTCTATATTTGTAAAAATCATATCGATATAATTATTAATATTATATATATACATGATATGATTATTATATTGTGTGTATATATGTATACATTATCGTCGGCCTCCCCGATGGCGCTTTTTACTCCGGTAGATCCCCCTGCTGATCCCAATCCAAACCCATCGTTCTCCGTCCAAATATAGGCTATAAAGATTGGTTTGTGGATAGTATCACTTCCAGATGAGAAACAAATTGTGAGAGAGAAATACAGGATCAAGAACCCCATTAAACTTTTTTTTTTGGGGTAGCAAATCAGATTTGGGTTCAATAGAATTGTAGCCTCAACACTGGTGGAAAGCTTCGATGGAGATGGCGTCTCACTTGTGTTGGACAGAGTAGTGACGGAGGATATTATGTTCATCATCGAGAAAGTTCGGTGTATCGAAGTAATCGTCATGTTGAGACAAATTCACTGAATGTTCGACTCCGTTACATCCCTAATTAAAGACGCTAACTCAGCACTAACACCTACCTAACCAGTGTTGAAAACTCACTTATTCCAGTGTTTCCATGATCTGAATCTCTTACTTGGACCATATTTTTATTAACAAGTATTGTTTAAAGACCTTTTAGTTATAGAAAATACCTAAAATAGCCCATAAAAAAAAGTTAGTAATCAATAATTAAAACGACTAATAAATTGATTACGGTAACACAAACATTTTGTATTCTATACAACTTTTCCGCAAAACGGGCACCAAGGCTCTTTTTTTATACCCAAGGCACCTTGAGTCTAATATCAACCATCAAAAATCACTTACAAAACCCGAAAATGACATCTACGTCTTTAAAAAATTAAAATGTATTGATATTATTAATAAAAAAACAAAAATCAATCTCGATTTTAGCTTGAATCATCGTGATTTGGTTTGGAGATGGAAAATATAAGAAAAATACACAAAGGAACGACAATAAAAGCCGCAGCTTTCAGCAAATCTTCATTCTCCTTTGAGATCACTCCAATTCTTGACCAATCTCCACTGTACCTGTGATTCGAATTTTAATCATTAATTCAAAATATAAAATGATCAGTATAATATAAAATAACATAAAAAAAGATTATAAAAATTACAATTTCAGAAAAAAAAAAAAAAAAGATATAGAATTGGTTATAAAAATTTACAAGCTTTTCCAAATTTCTAAAAGGACATAGCTATTAGAGATGCTCTTAGGATAATAGCGTATTAAATTCGCGCTTAGTGTCACATCAACTAGTCATGGACCAACCCGTTGTCCGACTAAGAGAAAATCAAGGGTTTCAAGCACCTTCATTGTAAAAAATATGTACAACTTTTTGTATTTTTAACATGTGGGTGTTTGGGATTGTCTATAAAAACAACTTATTCATGTGTGACACCGGTAATAAACACTTTTGAATGTTTGGATAAATAATTTACACCCGTGCCAAACCGGTAATAAGGAGTTTTTGAAGAAGTTAAACCCTTCTAACTTATAATAGGTTAACAAGTGTTTTTGTAGAAAAATATAAGTTTTTTCAAATAAGCTATCCCAAACACCCCAACAAACATCCTGTACAACCCAGGACTTAACACACTCTTTCACCTCTGTTTTTGAGGTGACATGTCGATGTCTCTAATTAGCTAAACATAGTCCATTAAAGAAGTTTTTAGAGAGAACTGAAAGATACAGAAGAAGACAATACATAGAAGAATTGGAGAAAACGAAACTAGTTACCCGGCATCTATGAAGCCTAATCCGAGAACAACAACGGCAGCTTGAGAAACAATCTTGAGTGGATACTTATCATCCTTTTTAGCCATGGAAATACAACTGGTTTTGCTTCTTCTTCTTCTTCTTCTTCTTCCTCCTTCATTCATGTTGTTGTTCACCATGGAAATGGAAGAGAAAAGGGTGGTTGATAATGATATCCCAACAACACACTTTTGTGTGGTCACCATTTTATTTGCAAGTGCTACATGGTTTTGTGGTTGTGGAAACCATATATATCATGCCACTTTCATGCTTTATGTACTTGTACCCTATGCTTTATGATAGTATCTTTATTTTATTTATTATTTTTCTAAAATAGTCAAGGTTGTGAAGTCATGAATCTATACTACCTTATAAACCAGATTTATCAAAAGGCTTAAAAACAAATTTTAATACACAAGGTACTATACATTTATGCACAAAGTCTTAAAAATCTTAAAAACAACTCATAATGCATTAAGTACTAATACTTTATGCATTAAGTCTTAAAATCTCTTAATCTACGATTAAAATAACATTTAATGCAAGTTACCAATGCATATTATTACATTTTCTTTTCATGTTCCCAAAATACTTTTGACACCTTTTACTCATGCCTTCACTCTCTCATACCTCTATGTCTTCTCCCCATCTCACCTTTCCCCAAGGTGAGATTCAAATTGATATTCACCATGAGTTATTAAAAGTTATCTCATTCAATTGCTCTAGAACTCCCGATCTCGCTCTCGATCTCTTGATTCTTTGCTCTTGGTGTAAATCGARCACATTTGTGGAGTCGTTTAAATATGTTGGATTTTAATTATATTGGATTTTAAATTGTCATACAATTTTTTCCATCGTTAGACTGTAATTGGAACCATAACTCTTATTTATTCAAATTGTATTAATATGTAAAGGCCAATTGTAACTTATATCATCGTTAAATCTTCTATAATAAAACCAGTGAAACTTCAAAATCGTTAAAATTCACGGCTCCCGCCGCATTACACAGATACACGACTAGTTTAATTAAAATCTCATTTAAAATAGAAAAATGGTTTGTCCAAGGAGATTTTGGTAAATTAACTCCCTTCGTTTTCTCTACCTCCAAAAATTTTAGACTTCCCGCCGAGAAACAAATGGCATTTTGCAGCAAACACACACATACACACCAGCAGCTCACTCTGTGTTGTTCTTTGGCTCATTGCCCAACAAAAAATTCGTAGGTCAAGGGAGATTAATCACATACTCAATTTGCCCCAAATGATTTTGTCTTCAACACCTGGAATTTTCGAAAACGTTTAACAAGGGTTTATATACATATGCTTATCTCAACGATGCCTGATTTAGGCAATACTGTAAGCATGTCTTCTCTTACACTATCTCATACTTCAACACTAGATGCAGAAAACCCTTTTCTGATGCAAGATGAAAGTAATGGACGAGAAAATTGTGTTAAGATCAAGAAATCGGTGGAATCGAAGAGTACGGATGATTATTTGGGTGATTGGGTTGCGAAGAATGTCGAGTTGGGGATTCCTGAATCAAAATTGGTTGTCTCGTTCCTTGTCGGCGCACCCAAACTGGTAGAATTTCTATATTCTGTTATGTAATGAAAACTGACATTAGCAGTGAATATATCCCTAAATTTATCGCAGGTTCAAATAATCGTTTCTTGGATTATTATTCATCAATACCTAAAATGATTAGTAAAACCCAAGGTGTATCTCTCCAGTGATCACGTTTTTGGTATATTATCATATCAAGTTAGTTGTAATCACGTTTATTATCACTCGAGTGATTTTGTATTTAAGATTGTTATATGCTGAGACCAGTGACCCCAAATTGGAACAAGACAACTGGTTTTTTTGGTGATTATGGGCTGCTCACTTATTGCAATTTGGTTGGGGTTGGAAACTTGGAATCTGAATATAAATTCTTGTGCTGTAGTTCACACCAATTCATTTAGTGTATGCAAAATCTGAACATGGAATGATGGAACAATTATTTGTGTTTGAATATGCGACGAATAACTTTTGTAGTTCATTTCAGGCCGAGTGTCTTGTTTGTGAGAGTGTAATATACCCAGGAGAGGAGGTAGCATGTGTCGTTCGTGATTGTAAAGGTTCTTATCACCTGACATGTGCAAGAGACTGGCTTGGATTATCACCATCATCAAAAGCATTCAAGTGTCCTCAACATGTATGCCTTTTCTTTTCTTTTTTTACTTTGTTTTTTTTTATCTTTATTATATACATAATACATCTAATCGCTTTTGATATCTTATCATGCTTCTTTTACTTCTATGTATCTCACAACATGTTGCATCTTACAAGTAATATGCTCATTTTGGTTCATTAGTGAGCCTATAGTCATGCTTTTCTCAGGGTCGGTCCTAAGATTTTTGATGCCGTGTGCGAAAATAATAAAAATGCCCCTAAGCGTATTTTTTTAAGCCAATGAAACAACGAAACATGCCATTTTTTAAAGAGTTTAGAACCTATTCAAGCTAAGTATCTCATCCCGATGTTGAATTTTATTAATTATAATTAAAAAAATACGATGGAGGGGACATAAAAACCAAAACCCCGAATACAAAATATAAAATGATAAAATGATAAATCCTGGATTAAGATCGTGCTTCCTTCTTTTCCAGTTTTCCCTTTTCCAAAATTGAAATTAGCAAAATAGAAACTTTATTTCAATATATGGAACTTAAAAGACAAGAAAACTATAATTATTTTTTAACTAAAATACTAAATTACATCCAAACTGTTGTCATAGTAAGCAAATTGTAAAACTTAAAAGTTACAGGTCTAACGACTAAAGACTAAACGCTTATCTATTAGTAGCTTAATAAGTTTAATGGAACTAACAGCTTATTCACTCAACTATGCATGATTGTTTCGTAGTGGCTTAATGATATAGAAAGTAACTTATCCGGTAAGCTTCTAGGGGGAGCTTTATATCGAAAGCCAATTTTTTTTTCCAAACATGTCCTTTCCAACTAAAAAAACGCTCCTTACATCTGCGAAAAAACTCTCCGAAACAAAAACTCTTCCAACTTATACAAACAGATTAATTCATACAGACAACTTTATACAAACAAAAACTTTTCCAACTTTCCAACTTTTTTCAACAATGTGCATTCAGTATTCATTACAACTAGGCCTTGGGTCTGTTTTTATAGTCAAAAGTTCAGTTGTCCAATTCTCAAATTATTAAACTCAAAATTAGTAATAATGACGATTTGATGCCCTGTACGGCCGCACGGGCTGCACGTGGCCAGGGCCGACCCTGGCTTTTCTCTGTCTTTGGATACATTCATAATAAAAAAGACTAATTTAAGCTGTTTCATACTCTCTTTTAGGCGGTTTACCCTAATTAACTTTAATGAACAACATTTCAATGAAGTTCATTGAAGCTCACTTATGATTGATGGCTGCCTTTAGATTCTGTGTGGGTGAACATATATGCTATATAGAAAGCTCTTTGTTGCATGCTCATTCTACTACTAGTGTGAGTTGACAGACGTTGCATTTCATAGTTATTTTGTTATCAACTTGTAATTATTTTTCTGCTTGTTGTTGAGAATAATTTACTTCATGAGGTAATTCTGAAATAATTGGAGCTATTCAGCCCTTAAAGTGCCAATGAATGGAGAAGAAAATGTGTTTTCTTCCACAAAGTTGTAATTAGATTATCTGTACTTCCATAGGTGATTTGCAATGATAGAATGTATTCACTGACTTATCATGTTTACTGGGTTTGTACTCTTGCACAACTACTTTAAAAGCACATGTGATGTATGTATTAACTAATAAAAAATCATGAAAGAGGTGACGAGATACATTGATAAGCACACCATCAACATTAATATAATTAGATGGCTTTGGCAACTTAACAATTTCAATTGAACTATTGGAGTCCCACATCGGCTAGACAAGGATCACTGAACTTGTATATATATGGGGATCCTCTCTATCTGTAAAGGCTCTTTTAGAGAGAGATTAAAGGGGTTCCACATATCCTATCATAGGATTAGAGCCAAAATCTACCACTTTAAGGACTTGGTTCTTTGGGACAATCTGTGCCCATCTAGCCCCCTTTTTCGACACTTTGGGACAATCTGTGTCTGTTTAGCTTCCGTTGGAGGGGGTGTGTTGCGGTCCCTCATTGGCTAGACTTGGATCATTTATCTTCAATATATGTTGGAACATCCCTTTTTTTCTCAAGAGCTTTTTTGGATAATAATTTAATGGAGTTTCACATATTCTCATAGGAGCCAAGGTCTACTGTTGGGACATCTTTGCCTGTGTAGCCTGTGTTGGAGGGGGCATTAGAACCTCACATCGGCTAGACTAGAACACTTTCTCTTCAATATATGTTGGACCTCCCCTCTTCTCTCCTCACGGGCTCTTTTGGAGAGTAATCTGATGGGGTTCCTCATATTCCCACACAAACTCTATAACCAATATCCTCAAAATCAATTAAGGTAATGAAAAGATTACAAAAGGCAATACATAAGTTAAATACTCTCTCACAGTCTCACTCCAAAAGAAGATGATAACACATTAGATAATTTAAACTGTATAACAGTTATTGGGTTGAAAAAGTTTGGAGATGAAAATCTAAAACCATCTGTCAATTCTGAATTGAAAAAAGTACTGTGTTAGAACTTGGGAAATTAAAAACTGACATTAATTTAAACGAACAGGAGCCACCTCCATATGTGCATATTAGGCACAGTATCTTTGGCATGATTCTGTTTCCCAATTTATTCATTGCTTGACTGACAATATTGATAAATCATGTTACATACTTGAGGAGAATTGATTGAATGCTCAAATAACATGCACTATTCTCAACTAAAGTTAGATATCTACCTTGTAAAGAAAAAGCGCAATGACGCCAATAGGAGTACCGGATGCACCGACTGCAGTTTTAACACATGCTCTGACGATTGTGTATGCAGGTACTTTGTCTTGCCATAACGTTTTATTGCTATTTGATTTATATTTGTAATTGATTTTGTTAGAGTCCCGCATCGGCTAGACTTGGACCATATCTTTCTCAATATATGTTGGAACCTCCCTTCTCTTCTTAGGGGCTCTTTTGGAGAGTCATCTAATGGTATTCCACATATTCTCACACTGTATCTGAGCGAAGTCTACCACTCTTAAGGGACTCGACACTATGGGGAAATTTATAATCGTCTAGC